GTAAAGTTGTCCTTATGTGTAACTTATTAAGCACTATGAGATGAAGGTGTATGGGGTATGTATATTAACATATTCTTGACCTTAGCCCTAGTTGGAGGTGAATGGTCAGTTTCATGCCTTGGCCACTTGACCCCCAGGGAAAGAGCCCCTGGTACCCACCAGATAGGAGGCTGGGTGAGCCCCAGAACCGGTTTGGATGATGTGGACAGGAGGAAAATCTTACCCCTACCAGGACTCTGACTCCAATCCCTCAACCGTGCAGCCCACAGCCAGTCACTATACCAGCTGCACTATCCCAGCTATTTTCCTTTAAAGTGATGGTTGACACAAAAATTTAAAGCTGAGATTGAAATTCAGAACACTGAAAATGTAGTATACTGATCAATTTTTCATTAAAGTGGAGAAATAATTGTTCATTTTGTTGCACAGCGTTACATCATGCATGTTCTGTTGTCATGTCTAATTTTGAAGGAGTGCATTGCTTGTTCAGTCTGAATTTAGATTTGAATGATCTGTATTGAAATGTTCGAGTCTTCATGTCATGTCTGCATCACCAATGAATACATGCAACACTGTATGCAGTGACATATGGGTGCAATGAAAGAAAGTGTGTGCTGCAGCCAGATGCTACAAAGTGCACACACGCACCCTTGCAGATGCATGCACATACAAAATGAAATTATAAGTCACTTTTCCATTCTGGAAAGTAATCTAATGGAACAGTTAGTAATCACAGTCAGACGTATGAAGCAGCAGAAGTTAGGAATAACTGACTTTATTCTACAGAACAGTCCTCTGTGGAAATTCTAAAATTTAGAGTGGGATAAATGTATGAAACTTCCCTGCAATGTAAGTAATCGTTTTCTATATGTGTACATTTTACAGCTGAGTCCAGATTTTTTTTATATAGAAAGGCATTAATATTCTTATATTATATTAAAATATTTGCATTTAAAAATATGTATTATAAGCAATATAATATGTTTAATGGATAATTTTTGGAAAATTATTTCTTACAGTGAATATTCTTTAGATCAGATGGACAGAAAGACCACTGAATGATTGACTTCCTATACCAATTTATCTTTCTTTGTGTACATTTTACAATATTAATTCCAGAATTTTGTTTGTTACTACAGCAAAACTTAATTATGAATATTCTTATACACTGGCTGTCAATAAACAATCATTAACTCTTTCCATGGTAATGTTTTCCCACTAATTTCTTGCAGTATATGTATTTCAACAGCAATATTAGCTTTTACTGTTGAAAACCACTTCTAATTATCTTAACTGCTGAGAGATGTACATATGACAAAATATCATGTAAGGTCTGTAACTTTTACTTGAAACATTCTCTTGATATGAATATTCAATTGAACACATAAGAACAGTATTTGCCAATACATTTGTGTGCTCCACGTATTTTCAGTCTCTTGCTCAACTAAACAGGACTCAAATGAACATTTATGTCCCTCTTATGGAAACATACTTAGCCAAGAAATTGCACATCCCTGTCCTATTCAAGTAGCTGTGGATGCAGTTTAGTGTTAACTGACATCTTTAAAAGACTGTCAGCACAGCAAAGCAATAGTCTATGAGCATAACAAGAAGTTGCACTTTAAAGACTGCCCATACAAACCAAATTTATTTACATAAGTGCCAGCAGAATATTTTTTAAGGGGAGCAGCCACAAAATTTGCTTACAAACTTGGTTTTAAGTTTTGTGTAAGATTATTTTTACTGATTGCCCTAGAATTATGGGTCTCTGTATTCGACCAAATGGGCAGGAATAGTGAGGGAGGCAGAGGTTAAACTTAAACAGACTATATAATCAAAGAAGAGAAAGATACTGGAACAAAGATGGTGCCACATTTAAAAATAATTTTAAATTATTGTATTAAAATTTGGTATATTTCTTTTTTTTAATTTTGTTTCCCAAAAATCTGGGAGAAGGGGGGACTAAGCCTAGCTTGCATCCACTTGCTAGTGACACTGTTCAATGATAATATTATTGGTACAGAAAGGCAGTCATCTTATATGCTTACTGTTTCATTCACTGAAATCATCTCCTAGGTACAGCACCATGTCAAGGAATGCATCCTTCTTCAAGGTACTATTATAATTCCTTTAAACAGTGCCATACTTAAATGAGTATGCAGTGAACAGTGGAGAAATACCATACCAGTTCATTTTTCTGCATACTGTTCACACCGGTCTTCCATTGCACCTAGAATGTCTACGCCATTTTAAACAACACTGAAACTTCTTGCTTGTATTACTCATACGGTAACATCTGTTCTTGCCATCACCTAATTCAGCATGGTTCTTTATAGTTAAACATGTAAAATATTCACAAAGTATATATACATTTCTTAGCTTCTAGGGAGGGTGCAGTGAGAGTAATTCTTTTAGATGTGCATGATACATAATTGATAATTCTACTTCAGTCATGTATGTTTATATATTTAAAGAGTAACACTAAAGCATTGATTGTCTACTATAAGCATTGTAGAATCTATAACTGTTTATAAATAGCTAAATAAGACTACATGCTACATATGAAGAGTACACGACTTACATATACATGTGTGTATATGTACATATGTTCTTATGTCACAAAAACACAATGCTCTTAGCTATAGTGGACTTACAGTCTATAGGAATAGGAATTGATAAATACTGCATTCTTTTGTACATTAAGTTCTTCATTTACAAAATAATAATTTATATATTCTACATTCCTAAGCGTAACATTTGTCGTTTGCATGTTTCCATTATATTGGTCTGTTACAATAGCGGCAATTCAATCTTCTTCCTTAACATCAGGATGGCTTCAGCTGGACCCTGTATGGATGGAACTTCCCTAAACAAAGTTAGCTGCTCTCAAGACATACTTAAATAGCCATGAAAGAGTTATTTAATTTAATTTGAGCATGGACACACATGTAGTTTTAAATAACTTGTCTTTTCACAACTATAAAAGTATGTTCTGTGCTTGAAGTTGGGAACAAGATGTAATGGGTCAGATGGGCAAACATGTGTGAACTTCCTGGGTTATGATGCTAAACTCTCATTCAGTTGGTTTTTAATTCACTGCTGGTGCAGATTTCCCTGAGTACAGGTTTAAAATTTAAACACTGACAAAGATAAAGATTTGGAAACGTAAATATCACCAAGCTTCCCCTTGGTTTGGCTCTGCTGGTCACATAAGTTGACCGATATTCTCAAGATCACCCCATCATGGAGGATAACATAATCTGCCCGATTTCAAAAATCAATTCTACACCCTTGCCTAGATAGGCAGAAGCCAGAAAGGTCAAATAGTCCATATATGGGGACAATAGACATGAGCCAACCAACCATACACACAAACCTGAAGCAAGGATCATAGGCATGGAACTGGTGTCAGGGTGCATTTTCTGTGGAAACTGTCCATTATGTACATCAAAAGGTGTACAAGGTTTCAAAGGCTGGTTCTCTTTCAATCTTCAAGTGAAAAGAAAGGGTATATATTGTAATTATAAGGATTATAAGAGACCTCACCCTTTCTTTTTACTTGAAGACAGACACATAACCTCTCAAACTGTATATATCTTTGATCCAAATAATGGATGGTGACAAAAAACATATGAAATTATAATGCCATCATCACCAACCTTTTATAACTAATGAAGTTAGCGAAATCATTTGATATTTAACTGAACTGTGAAATAATATTCTCCCATGCATGTAACTGTCACATGTTTAAAGCAATGCTCCCCAACTTTCCGCACACGCTGATACACTGAAACAGTGTGCACTAACTAGTAGCATCAGAAATAATTCATTTTTATTATTGTAAAGCTGTCGTATGTGGGCATGCGTCAACTGTGTTCACACTGTTCCTTTTATCCTTTTCACTGCTATACTGTCCTTGTACTGTGCATTATAGTTCGGAGACAAAAGCAACATTTTAGAAACAAGCATTAAATCATGAGCATAGCACAAGCAAGAAATATTAAAAATGGATATTTTTAAATGATACAAATTCCGTCCCAAGTGCAAACAATATATATTATATGTCTTTGATCTTGTTCTTTCTACACTACATGTTTCGGCCTCTATCGGCCATCATCAGGTGTATAACTAGGTGTATCATAACTAAAGATTTTTAAAGTGCTACTACAAGAACATCAAAATTGGACGTGTGCAACATAATCTACATACCAGACACATATCAACGATGTAGATGTTGATAATACGAAGAATGTGACATTGTGTTTCTAAATGTTAAATTTTAGACCGGGTTCAGTGTGGCAGCAACGTTAAGAGTATACACCTGATGATGGCCGATAGAGGCCGAAACATGTAGTGTAGAAAGAACAAGATCAAAGACATATAATATATATTGTTTGCACTTGGGACGGAATTTGTATCATTTATCGTATAGAGTGCAACAGGATGCTTAAATATAATATGGATATTTTTAAGAGTGCAATATGTAACAAGTATGAAGAAATATGAAAAATACTAATATGCTAAAACAATGTCAAACAAGACATCACTTATAAGTATGCACTAATAACTTATCTGATGATTTGTTGCTTAATGGCTGAGCCAAAAGCCAATGTTTCAGCGATACAGCAAATGTATAAAATAATGGATTTTACCTAAGTCATGATATGGAAAATCAGTGAGAGTATCTTGGTTGATAGAGATGCCACGAAAACGTCAAATCTTACATACCATTAACTATGCAGAAACACCTCTAATGGGTTCTGACAACAGTGTGTTGCACTCGGAACTAGTCAGTTTCTGCACTTTGTACACTGTCTAGTAAAGTCAAATGGCAAACTTGCCCCTGTGCTTAATTAATTAAGCACTATGCCATGAAGATATATGGAGGAGTGGGGATATAGGTTCACCATTATTGACCTCAGCACTAGATGGAAGTGAGTGGACAGCTTCATGTCCCAGACACTTTACTCCCAGGGAAACCACCCCCAGTACCCATTGGATAGGAGGCTGGATGGGCCCCACAGCCAATCTGAATATTGCGGAGAAGAGAAGAATCTTGTCCCTGCCAGGATTAAACCTCAGACATCCAGTTCCATAGCCCATCACTATATTGACTGAGCTATCCCAATTCCTACATTGTCTAGTATTCCAAAAAAAAAAAGATTTTTTCCAGTAAGTGGCTATGTCCTGGGTCCAAAGGGTAATATTAGGTGCTTCTAACAGAACCAACTGAGTAGGTATCTCCTCACCTTTTCATGTGAGGATGAAACCAGATCCAACTTCAAAAACGTGTTTTATCTTCACTTTATCTTGACTTATTTAAGTCAAAGTTTGGTAGCATGCTTGGGCTCATATCACAGTACAATAATAGAGAAACACAGTGTTGAAGGTTAAAAGGAAGTATGATAGTGTCCCTCACCATCTTGTCCCAGTTCAACCACTGAGCATGCCTTCTGTGAAATCTGAAGTTCCTGAGGACTCATCACAATATAGACCAAATTGTCAGTCACTGAACTGTTACCTCCAAAACATAATGAACTAACCTGTGTCTCACTATGAAGGAGGCTGACATCATCAGGACACATACATTTAACCATATCTTCAGATTACATACACTTTATATTAAGCATAGTTGATTATCTTTGTTTGCATTCTGGTAACATTATAAATAGAAATCCAGTTCAAAGCCTCACATATCCACATAAACTGTGAACTGGTGAGCTACTGGGAAGCACAAACATGTTCAAATTAACATACAAGGGAAGTGCAATAGGAACTTGCCAAAGGCTGTTTGTTGTCATATTAAGCAGAGCAAAAGAAAGAAAGGAAAAAAAAATAATAATAATCCAGCATGCATTAGAAACGTCAAGGCTTTCATGAGAAAAGATACCAGATGAAATATCTGATCTTCTGATTAAATTAATGGTAGCAGCCTTTAAACAAACATCTGCCAGTTAAGTTAATGGTAGCAGCCTCTGGTTAAACATCTGCTGGTTAAATTAATGGTAGCATCCTCTGGCCAAACATCTGCCAGTTGAGTTACTGGTAGCATCCTTTGCCCAAACATCTGCCAGTTAAGTTAAAGGTATCAGCTTCTGTTTAAACATCTGCTGGTTAAATCAATGGTAGCAGCCTTTGGTTAAACATTTGCTGGTTAAATTAATGGTAGCATCCTTTGACCAAACATCTGCCAGTCAAGTTAACTGTAGCAGTTCTGGTTAAATTAATGGTAGCAGCCTTTGGTTAAACATCTGCTGGTTAAATTAATGGTAGTAGCCTTTGACCAAACAACTGCCAGTTAAGTTAATGACAACAGCTTTCGGTCACACATCTACTGGTTAAATTAATGGTTACAGTCTTCAGTCACTGGGCCTCCGGAGAAAGCACAAAGGATGCTGATTCAAACTGGATTCTATGTACAGTGGCTGCCTGTAGTTTGTGACTCAGTGGCTCACATTCAGTGACTCTATGAGACCAGGCCAAACAGACCTCAGTCACCCTTAGGCAGGTTTCTATTGATCCTCCCTTACATATTGGTATCACCTCATGGTACTTCGATTAGGGTTAACATTAAATATCCCACCTGTTAACTTTTGGTTTTCCAAGGCTCAGCCATATGAATACTCCTGTTAGAACCTTTTAAAAGGCCATGACTGTTCCCTGCAGTTCTATTTTTCCAAGAATGGGTCATTGACTAAAATTCATTGACCCTGGTGAAATGAATGTAATGCTAGTGCAAGAATAGTAAAATAATAAAATTAATTTAACATTATGGTCTTCTGAGATGGGGACACCATGTAGTTCGGTAAATACTAGATACAAACATTTTGGAGGAACCTGCTGCTTACATCTTCAGGGTAGACAAGTAAACCCTATGGGAAAAGGAATATGCAGTTATTGGCACCGAAGGACAGGAACCAAGGCTGCAAATAACACAATGCGAGATTCTCTGTCTTATTAGAACCAGAAATTCGTTGAGGGTGAAGCAGGTGCCTCTAAGACCAAATTACACAGTGTCACTTACCAGAAGACAGTAATCTTCACACTCACCATGGTGAAAAGCTCAAATCTCACACAACAAAATTAATTCATTTACCTCACAGATAGGGCAATAGCCTGTTCTGGTCTTCATAAAGGGGAGAGAGAATGTAAGCAGATCTGGAAAATAACACAGTAAACTGAATAACATATTCTTCAAATACCTATTCTCCCCTCCAACAAGTGTGGAGTATGAAATAGAGATACAGATGTAACTAATGACTTGTAATGATTCTGAAACAAAATAAAGTTCTGCATTTACACACAATAAATTACCTATTTATCGATGTGTAATACACATTTTGTTCCTTCATAAATATCTCCTAAAATTATCATTTATCTTTTACTTCCCAGGCTTTCGATGTACATGAAAGATAAATACAGTGAACTATGCTCAGTCAAAGGAGGTCAAACTTTTTGTTTCTGTCCTCATTACAGTAGGCCCTTCTTGTTTGATTTCAATGTACAACCAATGATTATAATTTTAGTGCAAAATTGCTGGCACTCTCTGAGAGGGTCTAAGCACTGAACTTTTCCCAGATTTAAAGGAGTATTTCCTTCTGGGATGTAATGTCATATGCTCTTGTAGATATTCATGGACATTTTGGAGGAACTTACTGTCTCCATCTTCAGGGTCAAAGAGTAAACTAAGCAATCAAGCAGCAACTTGCTGTTAATACTTTTCAAAGTCATGACCATGACAGCCTCAAATCTGTATCAACTACTGAAGTTATTTACCATTATATAGAATTCTTGTGATTAAGTATGGTGAACTGGAGGGAACAGTTTCATTAAACTGCACAGTACATGCTGCCCTGGCTACCAAATTCAATAAACACACAGCTTAAGTAAGCACCGAGGTTAACCCTTTCATAGCTAGGTTCAATGTTTTCTCCTTAGTGTGGCTGTTGTGTCTGACTGCCTGCCTGCACCCCTCATTTCTGAAACTACTGCACAGATTTTGATGAAATTTGGTACAGAGTACATCCATTAAAAGTTATTACGCATTTTGACTTTGATTCATATTAATCCAGGTAACCTCTTACTTTCTACGGAGCTCAAATCAAGCTCTACTGATGCTCCCAAAATCGGCTTATCACATAAAGAAAGGTATATGGTACAAATCTAGATCTCTTCTAAGATCTACAACTTTCACTTGAGACATGTGATATGTTGAATATTTATTGAAAGACAAGCGAAATTTAATTTGAATGTGAACAGCGTGGTTAATTTCTGCAACAATGCATTTGTATCTGTGATAAATATCAAGGCCAATGAAGCATGAAAAACTGCAAAGAATAAATTTGAAAATATTTGTACCATGCTGGATTATGCCTCTCTACATCCATCTAGACTCATGTGTGAATTTGTATCTGTGATAAATATCAAGGCCAATGAAGCACGAAAAACTGCAAAAAATAAATTTGAAAATATTTGTACCATGCTGGATTATGCCTCTCTACATCCATCTAGACTCATGTGTGAACAGATGAGCTCTGAGTTCTGTCACAGTGTCATGTTAAAGAGATGTGTGTCAGAGAACTGCACATTCCAACAGTAGCACTGAAAGGGTTAAGCACAAGCTGTTCTTCCAGTCACATGAAAGGCTTGTCAGTACAGAGGAAAGCATAATTATGAATTAGTTACAGATGAATTTATCTATCTTGGAAATTGAGCAAATGTGAGTGGTACAAGTATTATGCATTCACTCTGCCTTCAGCTTGAGTTTCAATACAGTGGAACACCTTGTTTAATGCTTCAGGATTTAACATTTTCTCACATTTAATGTTCAGTTTCTGTCACTCCAATGTCGAATTCAATATCCAAGTGTTAAATTTACTCCATTTGAGTTCAGTGTTCAAATCCTCCCAGGATATCTCAGATGAGGGTTCCACTGCATTTAATCACCACCTCACCAAAATATTACTGCCACTGGGCAGATGCTTTCAGTTTACAAGGTTACTGGACCAAACAGAGATTAACACATTCACTGCTTCACACTGTCCCCCTACAACCATATCATTTCTGACATATGCCATACAATTGCTACATAACCTTACAAATGAATTAGAATATACATTGATTCTGGACATACATTTTATAGATGGATGTAATTCTTGGATCAAGATGTGTATGTTAGATATTGTTCAAAACACTTCTTCACCCTTTGGTTTAAAAATTTGTGCTGTTCTCTTATGCCAAAAATGTTGAATACTGCTATATGCATAAGATGGCCTAATCTTCTGCCCCATTTATGTTGTAGAGAAGCTTTGCCCTTCCAGCAGAATAAACTTCTTTCCCCTTGCAATTATCATGAAAAAAAAAATTATTTCTGTGTTGGCAGTTATTTGTCTTTTCAATGTCTGGCAGTAAATGTGTTAATTCATTTGAGGTTTGGTCTTCCTATCCTGAATTGTGAATTCAGATTTATGCTGTTTCATACCACCATTTCATCAGATTAAACAAAACTCCTTCAATTTCTCACATTAAACATCTTCAGTCTAACATGTTATATACATTTATATGGTTGCAAAATAGGCAATACTGCACACACCCAGAAACATCAAGTAACAGGCCTGTACATACCAGTTACTCTCTGGGCAAAGGGGTGTAGCTCATGATCCTTCTCTGTTTCAGGATCTCTCTCCCCCTCCCTCTCTCTCTCTCTCTTCAAAGCATAAATGGGACATTATCAATGAATACCATGTTAGCTCATTTTTTTTTGCGTAATTGGGAGTTTCTTTACCGGAGAGTGTGCCACATGGCGACAGCTTTGCGAGGGCTCTGTGTCATGTCACACCAGTGGTCTAGTTCTGGCCCCTCTTCCTCTGGTCCAATGAGGCAAGAGCCTAGCAGAGGATTGTTGCCAATCAGATCATTTCCTTGGTCCATTACACATATCTGAAATGACATCATGGTGAAGGTTGTTCATGCATCAATAAATAACCAGGAAACTACATCATATCTGAAGACATTATGGTGACTGAATGCAATGAAATCATCTCAAGACAATCAGCCAGGGTAGTATAAGCTCAAACATTTCATGAGAATCCTATAAAACCCATTAGTACACTCTGAGGGTAAAAAAAGTTCTTTAATGTTAAAGAAGGTGGTACATACAGTAACCACCATCCTTGAAAGTATTAATAAGAAATAATGAGGGTTGTTCAAATGAAACCAGTTTGCAGCCCTGCCAGTAAATACAGCTAATACATAATCCATCATAGTTGATGAATTTTTGCTCTTCTGTTGGGATCAACAGCTAAGGAATAAGAGGGGAGTGCATGCTGACTGATGGATGTCCCACAGTAGGCATCAATATAGACATTAAGTGTAAATATAATCTGTATTTTATGTATTTATTTAGATGCATGTTGTTTTCATTTATGTTTGTTCATTATTGTGATATGGCATGTTGGAATTGTAAAGATGTATTGTTGTTTGTAAAGCTTGTGACATGTTTCATATTCAGTGCAGACTGCACTTATGAATATCTTGAAACGCAGATGTATGTATGTATGTATGGTTTGCAGGTGATCACAGGATTGCGTACATTGTGACACATTAGCAGTCAACCATGAGCTGTGCAATGGAATGTGGACATGGAGAGCAAGTGGGAAAACAGTCACAAGGTTAATACTGGAATCCCAGGAGCAAGATCCACTCCAAACAGGACTGTCAATGCTAGGGTTCCAGGACCCTAACATCTGCATCAACACACAGTGCTGGTGGGGACCATACTGAGACCTTCATACCAGCAGAGCACAGCATCTTGGTGTGCTCGTAGAGGTGCCTTTGCATCACACAACAATATCCATGCTCCTGTGACCTACACTGTCCAGTACATATTGTGTTCTACATTCTGCATGGTGTTTGACCATTACCCACTCAGCCCAGCCATGTCACTGCCTGACTTCCATGGATTTTATCCCTCTCAAGGGAGTGATAAAAGGCTGTAGATCTGTGTGATGGCTGCGTTGGTGCAGTGGTGTCAGCAGCAGCCTACAGAGTTCTCTGCAGAAAGGATCCATCAGCCAGTGTGTCAATGTGTTTCCTGCCTCAATGCTCACAAGAATATTTGTAATGGCCTCTATTCCTTCACCCAGAACAATCCTTGCAAACAGGTTTTCATTTGAACCAGCCTCAAAGATAAATCAAAACCTTACTTAGTAAAGCCTGTTAGCCTGTTTTCTCCAAATATACTTTCATCTTTTGTCTTTAAAGGGCATGCTTCTCACCTCGACTGCAGCATTTGATAGATTTGAAGAAGCCAGGTTGAAAGTAAGTGCTTCATTCCACACTGGGTTGCAGGTGCTTTTCCGGGCAGCTGTTTTCTTTTTCTTCACCCTCTTCCCGCCACTAAGAAGGTAAACTTTGACAAATGGATCTAAAACAATACAGGTGAGTCGCAATTTGAATGGAAAAGATGAACCAAACTTGAAATATTCACATTTACAGTGTTCACAAGGCTGTCTTTCCTTTTAGATTCTGGTCTTCTGGGTTATGACACCATGTAGTCTTATGGGTGGTTGCCAATATTTCAAAGGAACATTCTTCCTCACTCTTCATTTATACTGCTTCTCCTGAATGTTGATAACCAGACTGCAGTGGTAAATCCCAGAATACCATAACCTAAACTGTGCCATCCAGAAAACCTCGAGTCTTATATCCTTTCCTCTTGTCTCAAGCACTGTTATTAAGAACCAATAATTCTGTATCATATGTCCAGATCATGTGCTGGCCTGTGGTGTGCTCTCAACATGGCGCTTAGCACATGCCTTCCTTGCTCCTGTCGCCTTTCCTAAGCCATCATCCTTTGTCAAAAGCTACCTCTGAGTTTCAGGATCACTACCAATGTCCCATGGGACAAGTAAGGATTTTTTCCAAATTATAGTCTGGTTTCTGCTTCTAAAATAGTTCTTCCATAGGGAAATTGACCTACACTATGCCTAACTAACTCCACAGACATGAGCTCTTCTTGAGAAGCCACGAATTCTGCAGTTACTCAAGAATTTCCCAACATTTTATGGAACCTGGAGGTTCCTTACTGTGTTCACAAGAGCCATCCACTGGTCCCTATCCTGAGCCAGATCAATCCAATCCATATCAATTCATCCTATCTCCCTAAGATCCAGTTTAATATTATGTACCCACTTATGTCTTGGTCTTCCTAGTGGTCTCTTTCCTTCTGGCTTTCCCACCAAAATTCTATATGCATTCCTCTTCGCCCAATTCGTACTACATTCCCTGCCCATCTAAAGAGCACAATTTATGAAGCTCCTCATTATGCAGGTTTCTCCAACCTCCTGTCACCTCATCCCTCTTCCTCCCTGCCCTCAAACACCTTCAGTCTACGTTCCTCCCTTAATGTCAGAGACCAAGTTTCACTCTTACACAGAACCACAGGCAAAATTTTAGTTCTGTGTATTCTAATTTTTATGTTTTTAAACAGCAGATGAGAAGACAGAAGGTTCTGGACTGAATGGCAGCAAACATTACCTGAAATCAATCTCCTCTTAATTTCCTCTATGTCTCTCTCCATTGAGTTGTAGTTGCAGATGGGATGTGAACTTTTGGTCTCATGGCACAGATCCATGTGGCCATATTTTACTCTATTTGTGTTACTTCCTGATCTGTATTTAATATAATACTTACTGTTATTTCCAATAATACATTTCTCTGTCATCTGAAATTCTTTCCACCTTGGATGTTTCATGCTCAATTATTTAGCAGTTATCTGTTGCACTTGGTCCACGACACACAAGTGCAGGACCAGATAACTTTATATGCCCTTTATGGGCACTAAGTATATTGCAACATTTCTGAATATGATTTCACACTCCTCACAACATTAGCTGATGTCTCCTCGTTGCCCAAAACTCCACATGTCTCTGTACTTAATATTTCTTGCCATGCTTACCTATGTTATCTTTATCCTGGGGCAGGAACAAGTTTCGTGCCTTGAGCAACACAACAGTGAGTCTCTCAGCAGATGGCAGGTAGCTCAGTGACAGGAGCACTTCCTGCATCTCTTCTGGAGGCTGCAATAAAGAAGTGTGGGACATTTAATTGTGTCAGTGCCGTGTGGAGGAAGTTAGGAATTACATGCACAGCATAACAATTATGGCACAACTCTCAAAAACAGTTATTGGAAAATTGTGTTGGGCATCAAATGTGTGTTTCATTTTTTTTCTGAACCTTCATTCCAAACGTTCTTCACTGCAATAAATATTTAGTGAGTTGCATTCAAGACACATGAAGAGGCACAAGTAGATCTTAGTGCAAAGTGTTCATTATTGTTGTCTGCTTTCATCCAGTACTATTGAGCTGATGAAGCTTAGCAAAAGTCCTGAACATTACATTACATATAAATCCATTCAGTGATGTTACGAGTCGTTACAGGCAGACGGACAGACATGGTGAAGCTAATATAGAATTTTTGCTACTTTTCGTTGTATGCCAAAAACTGACTGCTTTAGGCTAACAGAGACATTAGTTGCTATAGTAGCCTGTAAAAAAAGAAAGTACAAGCACTTAATATTAACCCTATAAGTTACAGGTGTCATAAATTCTGTTCTTTAAAGATATTTTTTATTTTTAATCTGGAAAATAATTGTAAATACAAAAAAGTCACAGGCAATGCCCATCTGGACCCCTTTAAAAATAGAGCTATACCTGATAGCAAATGACATCTGTTGGCATTTTATCCAAACTACATAAACAAGAAACATTTGGAGGGAATTTTTTCCTACATTTTTAGTTCTTATGGGGTTTTATATATATTATTTATCCAGAAAAATCTAAAATGTTGGTGTGACACTGTAATAATTATGGTAGATCACTGCACAAATTTATGTTAACAACAAACTAATCTGTGACACCCTCCCCGAACATGATTCTATGGCTGCAATATAATCACATGAACATCAAAAGTAATACCTTCTTGTTTTTGGTGATCTCGCCCCAAACTTCCACATCTGATGCAACATCAAATTCATCCATACTCATACACACCTCACCCACAACATCATTGCGTGAGAATCGGTCATAATCAAAGACCTGGAACAATGAAGATGCCATCAGATGCAAGTTCAGAATTCAGTGGGTTGCCACTGTTCTCAGAAACAACAAGGGGTTTTGAGTAGAAGTCATAAAGCCTACTTCTGTGTGCATGTGTACACATACATCTATGCATATGCATATGCACGCACACACATACACACACAACTTTCCTGTCTATTTCATGTTTCCTACTGTGGACTTCATAGAGAATGTTTACAGATATAACAGAATTTATTCTACAGCCTTTCCAATATGTACAGTAGTGACTGATGTTAAAGGTATGTGCAAGTACTGCATTACAGTTTCTTGATCCAATTCAAATTCTCATTCTTAAGCTTTTTTTAAACCTTTAAAGCCCAGTGGTCAATATATATACATACCAAAAGCGTTAACACACTAAAACTCTGCATTGTGCCCACAGAGTGTATCTGTGTGTTCCGCATGGTTCTCACAATAAATAGCAACTGTTTCCCTAAACAGAATTAACCGGTTAGGCTCTGTAGCGGAGACATAGTGTGTTTCCTGTGAGGTACAGACTGGATTTGTATATATTACTCAAAAGAAATACATTCTTTTAAAGGGTTAATTACAAGAGTAACATTAATTTCTTGATTTGAGTGTTAATTCTTCTATAAAGTTTCAAATACTATATACAGTGATACTGAGAAGGGAAGCAACTCTATCCTAAGAATGGCCACTTCTGTATGACATTAAATAAAGGCTAACTGCATTAAATTTGTATAGGCTCAAGTTAAGACTTAAGTGGTGCTACAATGACTGAAGTTGGAATAGGAACTGGAACTACTAGTCTACACCTCCCTACCTGCAGGACCAGAGTTTTGTCCTGTAAGTCTTGGTCTGACACAGGAAACTTAAAATGCTGATCGAAGAAGGGGTTAGGATCATTCCGGTGAATTGTTGTCTGCCTCTTGCGATTGTCTACTGCAGGAACAAGGCTCAAACGCACATAAGGGTCATTGAAGCCACCCTGATCACTTCCTGCAAGGTCATGAGCTGTGAACAAAATGTCATCTGGTGTTACCCATGCCCTCCAACTCATCTGCTCATGTCTAATCACAACACCGTGAAGAAATATTCATGCATTCCAAACTTTGGACTGGGTTGGAGGTGTGTGGTCTGCTTCATACTCCAGTCATATTTACTCCTGTGTGATTCTGCAAAGGGAATTTTCTTTTAATCACCAGTTGTAGTTACCAGACCTCCCAGCCATCCAGAATCCTATTCAACACATGATGGATGCTGCTTCACCTAGTGTGAAGAGTACTGAGCATGAGTGTGACCACAAATCCACCACCTAAAACTCAGGCTGAGGATACACATGGCATTACCTCCATAACTATTCACACAAACTAATAAACTGAAGTACTTGTAAAACATCCACATTTCTCATGATTATAATTAAGGGGCAAGTTTAGGGATTCTGTCACCTGTTACCCTTTTCACTTGTTCACTATGCTGTCTTATATAATAATTTATAATAGGTCAAAGGCAAAGTTGTTTCTGTGCTTAATTAATCAAGCACCACGTCATGAAGATGTGTGGGTGAGAGGAGGTATAGCTCCAACATTCTTGACCTTGGTACTAGATCGAGTTGAGTTATCAGCCTCATGACTCAGCCAATTTGCTCCCAGTACTCACTGTATGAAGAAGAAACAACCTTTTGCCCTTCACAGGAATCGAACCCTGGCTATCAAGTCTACAGCCCATCGTCATACTGACTGAACTACCACAGCCCCTATAATAATTTATTTGTAGTTTAAATTAAGTACCTGTAATTACTCTTTTAACATCTTAACTTCTCTCATTGCCCAGTTGAGTAGAATTTGCTACTGATTTCTGGAATCACACACATAAAGTTACTTGCTTGTGACAAGCTGTATTTAATACTCATATTTCACTTCCTTCAAGATGGTTGTTACTGTTGCCAAGAGAAACTCAAATCTCATTATCAGGGTGTCATTCAAATTTAACATGACACAGTATAGGATAACGTATAACCCATAACCATGATGTTGCATTTTAGCATCCTGGTACACTACTTTATCATTTGATATACGTATATGCACACAAACACATTCTTCTGTTCAGCTTCCTGTGTGGTTTCCAGTTTAACCATTCTTATTTCACATCCTTCTACCACTACACGACATGTTTTGGTCTCACAGGGACCATCATCAGGTTGGTATGCTGTTGGCACACTGATAATGCACCACACATTAAATTCTGTATTCTTGCACAAAATATTTTTCTTTATTTTGATCAAAAGAATGGACACTGCCACATAAAAAGACACTCTTTCAAACTTGGACTGACAAATAACCCAACTTGTGAAAGGTGTCTAGAAGAGGATGAATCAGCCACACATATCTTATGTGATTGTGAGGCCATACCTTATTTAAGATCTCATCAGCTGTGACAGTTCTTTATGGAACCAAGTGACTATCGTAATTCCCCCATAAATGAAGTCCTACATTTCATTTGAAGCGTAGGATTAATAAAGGGTCAATCAAAGGGGAGGCACAATAGACCACTGAAGGTTACAGTGCAAGGGAGGGATTTCATGGCCAACCCCCTTTACATACATACAGTGATCAAAAGAAGGACATGAAACAGGAGCTCTACAGAAAGCTGCGTTTCTGTACATATTGTCACGGGTATATCAAGCACTGATCTTCAGTTCTTCACTACAGAAAGTGATGATTAACAGTCATAACAGGGCCATGCCATTGCTCAAGTGGTTAGTCGCTGGCTTCCCACCGCGGCGGCCCGGGTTCGATCCCGGGTCTAGTCAAGTGGGATTTGTGGTGGACAAAGTGGCGCTGGGGCAGAATTTCTCCGAGTACTTCGGTTTCCCCTGCCAATCTTCATTCCACCAATTGCTCCACAATCACTCTCACCTATCATCTGGGGCTGGTACAATAGGCCAGAAGTGGCCGCAGTACAAGGGACTTAGCCCCACCCCACTAGCAATAAAAAAACAGTCATAACAGACACTCAGGATCAGGTCTTACCTTCAATAAGATGAACATGAAGGTCTGATCTATTGAAGTCATACTTGAGCCTGAGATGAAGTCTTCCTAGACTTGGTCCTCCTCTCCGGCTTCCTAGGAACAGTGGACCATCCCGACGCTGGTACAGGTCCGGCTGCAGGGCCCCTAGTGGTGAGGCAGGTGGTGCTGGGGGGTCAGATGCCAGTGGCCTTGAAGGTATGGGAGGAATCAGCAAGGGAGACAGGCATCTGGAAATGGCTGCACCTCTGGGTGACTGTGGAGGTACTGGCGAGTTACACACTGATGAGGCTGAACCGCGGTCAGTAAGGGAGGCGAGGGATGACTGTGATGGGGATGGGGTTCGAAGGTCCCCTGTGGAGCCACAGAAAGCAGAGGAGGCGCCACCAGGGGAGGAGCACCGCATGTCCAGAGAAGCAGCCCGATGGCATGAGGCGGGAGATGGAGAGCGACTCGGATTGTTACTGGGTGCTGAGCCTGGGTCTGTGGACTGCACTGTGTGGAGATGATGCAGTGCTGACGAACTGGTGGTTCGGCCATCTGGTGCAAATGTCCTTATCTGTGGTGAGGAACCCCGATGACCCTGCTGAAAGACAAGGTCAGGTTAGGAAGCTGTTCAAATTTGAAAAAAGCACTGTACTCAGAATATTGTCATGTGATTGACTACACATGGGATTTTGACTGGTAACTGGATTTACTGAACACTTACAGAATGTATCTACAAATAACTAAGAAATCTCACCGAGTTACACACTCAAATGACCACTGTAACTACAGCACACATAAATTCTTCTCAGTCTTCACTAGCCGTTGCCTGGTAGAGGCTTCCAAAGGTGAACGTTCCCTTTCCTCAGGGTTCCCGAACTGTCTCCGGCCTCAGCTACCAGCTTCTCACTTCTCACTTCTCACAACTGTAGCACAAAGAACGTTTCTTCCATTATTGCGTATTCTCTCGTTGCCGGAAAAAAACGTGTCCACAGAGCTGTTCCCTAGCAATGGCTGTTATCCTGTTGCCCGTTTACACAGCTGTTACTGGAAATGGGCCTACATATCACAATGTATTTTCCCTGCATTCCGTTAAATACTCGCGGTGTCAAGCAAGACAGCAGGTGCACAGAAAGCGTAACAATTGTGAAGCGGTCCTCCATTTCGTTACAATCCGGCGTCATAAGCCGCTAGACCACAATATGAAACTAACTCTGTGGTGTGCGGCTTTTCTTGTAGGGGAAAAGTTGTCTCTGTGCTTAATTAATTAAGCACCATGCCGTGAAGACGTGTGAGGGAGTGGATGTATTGCTTCACCATTCTTGACTTGGGCACTAGACGTAAGTGAGTGGTCAGATTCAGCTCCCCGCGCTACCCATTGGATAGGAGGCTGGGTTGGTCCCAGGGCCGGTCTGGACGCTATGGAAAAGACACAAATCTCGCCATGCCGAGAATCGAATCCAGGTCATCCAGCCCGTCGTTATATCAACTCCTCAACTTTCTTCTTGAAATTCATACTCCTTCATCAAGAAATTTCCTGTTTTTATGAATCTCGGACACTCATTACCACTCTCGAAAACTGTCGCAGTTGTGAGCCTATTCTGAATTCTGGTCTACTGAGTTGGACTCGAGGAGATAGCTGGTTCCTCAAGAAACGATGGTGACCGCGTGTGACACAACATGGTGTCGCAATTCAGAAATACATATTTCACTAAGGGCAATTTTAATATTATCCTCCTTCAAGGCTTACCGATCAACGCTTTATACATACTGAGGAAGCTGCCTCAGGCGGTAGCGTGTCTCAGTGTTTAAGATGACAGGCTGGAATTTCGACCAGGAAACCAACTATCCTGGATAATGGCTCTCGTGGTTTTCTTCGGTCACGCCAGGCGAATGCCGGGATAGTACCTTCAAAAAGGCCACTGCCGCTTCCTTCCACATCCTTTCCAATTCATCATTCATTAATAATCCCCACTGACTGGGTTGCCAAAAAGGTAAATCCCCAGGCATGTATCCTGGTGGTGCTCATTACTAAACTCGGCTAGAACCTCGGCCCTCCTGATTGAAGCTTCTAGTGTTTTTCCTCAGTTTCTCCAGGAAAATTCCGGAATAATATTTCGACTGAGTCACAAACGCTTCCTTTCCAATTCTATCCAAACCATTCATCAATCGAAGAGTGATATCTTCTGGGATATAACATACTGCAGTCCGTTTATAGTCAACAGACGTTTCGGAGGAACATATCGCCTCTATATTCAGGGTCAAAGAATAAGCAGGGGAAGAAACCAGCGTGAAAGCAAGCAGAGCTCTGAAGATTGAGGCGTTATGCTCCTCTGAAACCTTTGTTGACTTTCAATGGACTACACGGCGTTATATCTTAATAACCACCAATGTGAGAAGCTCCAATCCTACAATTCAACTCTGCACAGCCTGAGCTCCGAAAATGTCGTTAAATAAAACCATGCGTGCTACATGTCCCGCCCATCTGAGTCCAGTTAGTTACCTGTCTGGAGGCGCTGCTGTCCAGGCTGCCCTGAGAGGACACGGACGGAGTTCTGGCCAGGTGGGGCTGGCCCCCCGGATAAGACTTGGACTGATGAGTCAGAACCGGTGAGGCGTCCAGAGGGGACCTCATGAGGTCAGGGTTCACAGAATGTGGCGCCACCGTCTGGGCAGGCTGTACGGCGTGCTGCTCCTTCGCCACGTTGAATTCCTTCAAGAACAAGATATACACCCTTCCTCAAAAGCTGACAGTTGCTCAGCTAGTCAAGAAATCCCACCACCAATCATAGAATACCACTACTATGTTCACAATGGTCTCCATCATGAGCTATATGAATCTAATTAGCACCCTCTTCAACCATTTTGGAAAAGAACAGAAATAACAGTAGAAGAAAAGGGGGGAGGGAAAGTAGTGGAAGAAATGAAAGACACTTATTTGGTGGTGGGGGGCAGTAAAAGCATATTTTTTTCATAAGTTTCCTAGGCTTGGCCCACTCGTCCCTCTGACAAGGGCAGGGTGGAAATGAAGACGTTAGGGTGGTTAGAGCCAGTGGTCGCGGGATTGTGATTTTCAGAATTAGTGTCGAATTGTATTGACAGGATTTAGTGCGGAGTGCATGGGACCTGACGCGTGTAAGTCGGCAGGGCTGCATGAGATGCACACAGTAACTTGGGAACCATCTCAGCATTTGCTTAAAGGCGCAGGAAACATAAGAAAACTCTGTGTTGAGATGGCCGGTCGGAGGACCTTCCGGATGCTTACTCTGTATAGGCTTATATTATAAAAACCAACTGGTAATTGCTGTTTTGGGAAATAATCACTGTTCGCTGCAAGAAAATTGAAAGGTATGATTTTGCCGTAGCCTCTGATGGTATGATGTTCATATGAAATTTAGTAAAAAATCAGTTAAGTGGAGGACATACGGACAGGTACGAAACACAGACAGCACGGTGATCTCATTAATCCATTTTTTAAAGGAACTTACTGGATAAATCAGTTACTAGTATATCGCCTAGCCTCTGCGGCAACTTCTCCTACGTCTATGCTTGGCGTGTAGCCTAATAGTGTCTTACAGGCGTTCTGTGCATTGCATAGGAGTCAAGCCGAAATGGGTACGGATGCTTCATCATACTGGTCTAGTATTCAGACGGTTCTTGTTTCGATCCCAACGGTCGCCACTCCTCTCAAAATAATAATAATAAAAAAGAATAATTACAAATCTGTCAGCATGAAGAAGGGCTGAGAAGAAAATCTCGGAACTTTTACTGAGACTTACACAGCGATGCCGTCGCACCTCAGACTATATGGCGTCGAACGGTAGGATGACGGGTGGGTAATGAATCGAAAAGGAGTCTTAAGCAAGCCGTCTTGGCTTTAATTGAGGTACTATTTCGGAATAGTCAGTGGCCCTGCCGCTATGCCAGGCTGTTCGAACGTTTCGAAGGAATATACTGTTCCATTTTTTCAAATAGAGACGCGATGGAGGCAATATATTCCGCCGAAAAGTTGGTGAACACCTACAAGAGTATACGGTGTCATAACTCAGAAGAACACATTATGGTGCCGAGACGTGAGCACATGCCCAGTTTCCTGTCCATTTATTTCTAGGTCACTGTCCCTTCTAGCATTGAAGCGTGAGTTACGTCCACCGCCTCGAGCGTCCAGTGAAGGATTTTATTGTTTCCGTTATGGTCTCGGAGGGGGGGAGGGTGCTTTTTAATGACGTCACGCGGTCGATAAGGAAGAAGACAGAGAGATGTACACAGAGCAGGGTGATGCGTTGTGCCCCCTGACATTTAGAGCGCCGTCCTTACCCCTGACTCCAGGTAAGCATTGGGCATGCGCAGTTCATGGAATTAACATTAAATTGACAGCCTCTTATCGTTGACAACCACTGTACTTCCGACAGGATATTACAATTTGGAATCTCAACATACGTTCATAAACAAGAGGTACAATGCTGCCTGACTTGGGGTCCACGTACAGTGAGGGACATACTGGGCATGAAATTTACCCAGTTCTCATAATCGATGTTTCGGACTAGCTTATCGACTGCATCTTCTGGATCCCCTTTACTTGCTGCCTAAGGCTTCCTGGGCCTACTCATTGACACTGAAGATGGAGGCGATATGTTCCTTCAGAACGTCAGCGGAACTGCCACTAAATTCATAGCAAGTTTATCACATATACCCAAAATCCATTAATTGGCGTGCCACATTAAACCTACGGACGGACAGACATGTTCAATTTACAAGTCTATGAGGAATTACTTTCACGGCTCTGGGCTCCACCCAGCCTCCTATTTAATGGGTACCGTGGTCTCTTTTCCCGGCGGTAAAGCGGACGGGGCGTGAAAGTGACCACTCACCCGCATCTACGGTACCGAGGTCAATAAACGGTGGAGTTATGCCTCCACTCTCCCATGTCTTCATGGCGTAGTGCTTAACTAATTAAGCACAGCGACAGCTTAACTTTCTTACTTATGACGGACGTAAAATGGCAGAGTCCTAACTGTACCCACCTGTGTTTTGTGGGTACTCCGCTCCTTAGCCATCCGCGCCCATGTCTCCAGCCCCTTGTGGGTGATCCAACACCCGGCGGGGCCCAATCCGCCACCACTCATATTCATCCAAAAGGGTTCAGGCGTGTTGACACAATGACCCCAATATTTCCAAACAAGAAGGGATTATGTACACGTTTTTCCACTGTGTGGTGTGGCCCACGGAATAGAAACAGTTCCTTAGTATTCCGGATTGCTAGGCCGCTTCGCCATTGGTGTCCGAACACTTCATCACAATCAGTTCACTTCGTTGAAACTTTTCAGTGTGTTCAATTCGTGTTTTCTTTATATGATACAGAAACTGTATTAACAAGCCTGCATGCGCTGATATCTATACATCACAGCAAGGAAGATGATTGTCTTTTGTTATCAAAACATACATCTGAAATTCTATTTAAAAGTCAGTTATGTTTTTTCTTTCTGTTTTGCTTCTAAGCGAAAATCTAATAAATAGGACCGCGTACGTTACAAACACACACACACACACACGAGATGAACATAACCTCTAACGAATTATGTTGTCGCAAAACAAATACAATCTAATATTGCAACAGTACACGTGCGTACGGCGATACAGACTGATTAACACGTCTATTCTGGTGCTTCCAGGAAACTGTCCTGGGCTTCCAGTGCCATCAAAAGTCCTGTCTGCATAAGTATTCATCCTGAGGCGGCTTGTCGCACGGCAGAACACAGCACGTTGTGTACGCTCCGGACATGTTCACAGAGCCACCGCGGCGACCGCACCCACCATCTGCGATGTGGAGGACTGCCCTCGGTTCCGATGAGTGGATCGGCCGCCCGCTCTGGCGGACGGGGCTGGCGGGGAGGATTCAACAGGTTGCGACGTAACTGGCCTGGACCTGCCTCGGTGCACAGCCCCGCTATCTCGCTCTCTCGCTCTCTCGGTCTCTCTCCGGAGCGGCGAGTAACATATCTCTCTTTACATTATGCGCCGCGCTCACCGTTCCGTACGGCCATCGAGCCCCCACCCCACCCCCCGCCATCCATTTCACATTTTCCTTGCAGAGTTCGGAATTCTCCAAGCCTAAACTAATTTCACTGCGCGGGATAACAGTGATAACAGTCCGCCAGCTACTCATATTTCACAGAGCCCGCAGGTTCATTGCCATGTTCACAACAGCCCGCCACTCTCAAGAGATAAATGGATCTAGTCCACACACTCTCCGTAAAGTTGCCCCTGTGCTTAACTAGTTAAGCACTACGCCAAGAAGACGTGTCAGAGTGAGGAGGTATAGCTCTACAAGTCTTGACTTTGGCATTAGATGGGGGTGAGTGGTCAGCTTCACGCCCCAGCCTCTTTACCTTCTATGAAGTCGCCCCCAGTACCCAGTGGATAGGAGGCTGGGTGAGACCCACAGCCGGTCAGGACACTGCGGAGAAGAAAGAAATCTTGTCCCTTCCGGGAATTGAAGCCCAGCCGTCCAGCCCATAGTCAGTCGCTATACCGATAGCGCTTTCCCGGCTCCTCACACATACAAAACAACAGGTAAAATCACACAATTATTTACGGTGTATGACGCCGTGTAGTCGGGTAGAAGACTAAATTTTAACAGAATGCACTACCCCAAGTTGAGGGCCGGACAGTGCCTGAAGCAGTCGGTAACCTGACCATCTCACACAGAACAGATGCACGTGGAGCTGACACCACAGCGACAGCGATAGTCAACTTGATTAGCATCATGCCATGGAGGCGAATGGAGGTATAGCTCCACGCATTCTTAGCCTATTGTTTCATTATTTTGCGGCGTTGCCAGTATCTAGACTGTATATCGTGGAATGGGAGACTGATCAATAAACTGGAAATAATCTGGAAGGAGGAGGCCATGGCCCAATAGGGGAACTGTCCTGACTCAGGAAAACCATAAAAATCAGAGAAGCAGTGCCCCTGCTGACACTCGAAGCGAGCACATCTCGAATACAAGTCCAGACCGTTTCCACTACGGCAACCCGCCCTGTTTCCAAATCTAGGCGAGAGACGGGCGCGTGAGTGAGTCATCTTCACGCCCCGACCGCATTTACGCCGGGTACTAACTGTGTATGAGGTTGGGTGGGTCCCAGACCTGGTGCGGTCGCGGTAGCTAGTAGAAATATATCTACACCTGCCGAGAATGGTTGTCCAGTCCGTAGCCAGTTACTACTCTGACTGAGCTACCCCTGTTCCCTCTAAGACGCATAATATCGATATATTTTGTAAAGGTTTCCGACCACGCCCATCTCCGGCCTCTCCCTCTCCCTCTCTTCCGCCCACACTTACTGAGGCCTTTTCTCTCCACGCCCAATTCTCCTCTCTAAATGATATAAACGGCAGTGGATGTGGATGGGGGAGCGAGGGGCTATGTGCTCTGCGGGTGATCCTAAAGAAGAGGCAAACACGTGGCTCAGGTTACGTCGCTTGGCGCCCATACTCGGTGTCTGCATGTAGGTTACAACCACGACAGTAAGGCCAAACATTGGCCCATAAGAGATCAGCTCATTACGGGGTCAAATACGGATACAACGAGGGCCCATGGGCTGGACGGTCGGGGTTCACTTCCTTCCAGACGAGCTATGGGGTCAACCAAACCTCATCGCCAATGGCTATCGGGGGCTATTTCCCCGGCAGTAAAGCGGCCGGGGCGTGAAGCTGACGGCTCATCTCCACCTAATACCGAAATCAAGAATGGTAGACATATACCTCATCTTCCCCATACGTCTTCATGGCGTGTTGCTTAATTAAGCACAGGGACAACTTAACTCTTACCTTACGGGATCAAATGAAAGCCAAATAAAGTCCCTAAGCGCAATACTTTCCGTTCAGTGACATAAGGAAATGATGAGTTTAATAAATTGCTATGTACACATCTGCAGTTGTTTATTCTCTTGCAAAATGAGTATGAGTATGATTATGAGGGGTGAGCCATAGAAACCGGCCCTCGCACTGCGACCTTCAGTAATCTATTGTACTTCCCCTTTGGATCAACCTTTTATTAATCCTACACTTCGAATGAAATGTAGGACTTTATTTATGGGGGCGTCATAAAAGTCACTTGGTTCCATGAAGAACTGACCCAGGTGGCGATATCTTACGTAAGCTATAGCCTCACAATCCCATAAGATGTGTGTGGCTGATTCATCTTCTTGTAGGCACCTCTCACAAGCTGGGTCCTCTGTCAGTCCCAGTTTGGAAAGGTGTCCTTTTAGGTGGCAGTGTCCTGTAAGTAATCCTACCACCCACCTTAATTAATTAATTAATTAAATAATTCGCTTAGTGGGGGGTGGAGTCCAACTGGGTCCACTCGGCACGGCGGCCACTGATTGGCCTATTGTAGCCTGCCCCGGGTGATTATGATGATGGAGAATTTGGTGGAATGAAGATTCGCAGGGGAAACCGAAGTACTCGGAGAAAACCAGCCCCAGCCCTACTTTGTCCACCACAAATCCCAATTGACCAGACCCGGGATCGAACCCGGGTCACCGCGATGAGAAGCCTACCACCCATCTTAGTTGATCTCTGTTTAATTTTAACAGGTCCCTCGTTCTCTTGGCAGAGGGTCGTGATATAAATCCTTTTGCATGTTTGAGTCCAGTTGTGGATTCCCAGTGGTTTTTGTGATTTCTGTTAGTCCAGTCTCTGATCACTTTCTTGGCAACTCCAATTGAGATGCTGCAGGCTGGTTCAGGTCCTATTAACGGTTGTTCAATCCTGTTCTTGCCAGCTGATCTGCGGTTTCATTCCCAGCAATACCCTCATGGCCTGGCACACATATCAGCTGAACTCTGTTATGTCTGGCCAGTTGTATGAGGGATTGGTGGCAATCCCAAACCAATTTTGAAGTGATTTGGTGTGTAGCAAGTGCTATAATTGCAGCTTGACTATCTGATAGAATATACTAGATATTCCTATTTTTGTAGTTTCTATCTAAATTCTCAACTGCGCATGCCTTAATGGCATACACGTCTTGCAAAGTGAAATTTGACGACTTAATCTTTCAAGGACCAGTGGTTATTATATGTACGAACTCCTTTAACTCTGCATTCTGCCCACACAGTGTATCTGTGTGTTCAGTATGATTCTCACAATAAACAGCGACTGTTTCCCTAAAGAGCATTAACCGGTTGGTCTCTGTAGCGGTGACGTAATGTGTGTTTCCTGTGAGGTATGGACTGAATTCGTATAATTCAGTCTTTAAGGGTTTAACCTTCCTTTCCGTACCACCACAGATACAGCGTCGAATGGTAGGACAGCTAAATGATGAACTGGAAAGGATTTGGAAGGAAGCGGCAGTAGCCTAATTATATAATATACTTGCAGAGACCGAAGGAAGACATCTCACTCACTCACTCACTCATGGAGCTAAGCCCTTCTTGAGAAGCCGCTAATTCTGCAGGTACTCGAGAATTTCTCAGCTTTTTAAGAAAGCCGAAAGTTTATTACCGTTTTCACAAGAGCCCTCCACTGGTCCCTATCCTGAGCTAGATCAATCCAAGCCATAACATCCCATCCTGTCTCTCTAAGATCCATTTTAATACTGTCCACCCACTTACGTCTTGATCTTCCCAGTGGTCTCTTTCCTTCTGGCTTTCCCACCAATATCCTATATGCATTCCTCTTCTCGTCCATTCGTACTACATGCCCTTCCACCTCATCCTCCTTGACTTGATCTTTCTAATTATACTTGAAGAAGAGTACAAGTTATGAAGCTCCTCATTATGCAGTTTTCTCCAACCTCCTGTTACTTCATCTCTCTTCGTTACAAATATTCTTCTGAACACCCTCAGTCTATGTTTCTTCCTTAATGTCAGAGACCAAGTTTCACACCCATACAAAACCGCAGGCAAAATTATAGTTTTGAATATTCTAATTTTTATGTTTTTGGACAGTAGACGAGAAGACAAAATGTTCTGGACTGAATGGTAGCAAATGCTGAAGGAAGACATACCTGTACATAATTTTATTAAGGACATCCTAGCCCTGGGCCAATAATAATTTTTTGGGGTGGGAGGTAGTTTTAACGACACTGCCAGCAACTGGGCCACACAGCGTCGAAAAATAGGATTTTAGACACAAGATGAATTTTGAAAAAGTTTGGAATGAAGAGACCGTGACTTGATCGGGGTACCGGACGCATTCAGGACAGGCAGTGTCCGAGACGAGATGAGAACCGAGGACTTTGTCTCGCTCGGTGGGCCAGCACAGAGATGTAACAAGTGGAAGATGACATCCCTCTCGAGCCGCAAGAAGCTTCGGTGTGTGGCTTCTGCCGTGAGCTGTGATCCCACCTCTTGAAAGCAATCACCCAATCGCTGAAGCAACGCTAGACACTCAGTCAGACAGCCAGCTGGAGTGAGTGCTCATGGCCTAGCTCGTCGGGGCTCGATCGATCATCGCAAGGGCGGAGCAGCCCCCTGAACGCGGTCATCCCCTTCCCTGGACGTGTCACGCTCCTCAGACGGCACAGCGTCCAACAATGCAAGGATCTAACGGATACTGACGCCGGCTCTGAGGCCCTCAGGCCGGTGAGTGTGAAGCGAGCTGTATTCTGGGACAGGATGAATAGTATACTGCCTCCATCTTCAGGGTCTAAGAGTAAGCCAAGGAAACAGCCAGGTCTCTCTGCTTGCTCGGCTTACAATCCAGATCTGCCGACTGGGCTAGTACGTTCCTTCGAAACGTCGGCGAACTGAATTGAATGGGCTTATTCTTAATGAATAATGAATTGGAAAGGGCGAGGAAGGAAGCGACCGTGGCATAACTT